ACAGACCGTAATTGCTGATGAAATTTTTAACCCTCGGTGATAGGCCAGATAATTTTAGCCTTTTTCGTACTAATACTCATGTTTCTACGGGGGCTAATGACACTTGTTTTCATTCCCAGAAAAGAAAGCACGAAGTATAAAAAATATTATTAATACTATAATGCCAGAAAAAAATAGTTAACAAGTGGAATAATAACAGATATTAGATATCAGTTAACTTCGACAGAGTCCTGAGTGAAGCAATCACAGTAACTTCCCTTGCTAGCTTGCAAGTACTTTTCGATAAGTGGGTGACACTGTCTATCTTTCCGCTACCTTAAAGTCGAGATAGACCTAAGAAACTTCAGCGTTTGGAAGGCAGGTTCAGTGCTTCTTTATGTTGCTGGTGGTCTGATATTTGCAGAACTTGAAGAGAGATATATGCACCCTCAAGGAATTCAGCGTTTTTCCAGAAGGCAGATAGCAACCAGATGCAACTGAATCGAACAAAATTTCCTTGAACATGGGGAAAACGAGAAGCCGCGTTACGTTCAAGGCTGTGAGAGCCACTTACTTGCCCTTAAAGAGCTGCTATGCTGCAAAAAATCACTAGCTCTTGCCAATCAAAATCGGTTTCGGAGCCGATTATACAGCCAACACCGTCTTGCACCTCCTCAAACTATACATTAAATGAACAACCATGAAGAGAGAGACTCAAGTTTTATGAGATTCAACGGAATGATTTTCCTTTATGTGTCAGTGCCCACTGAAAAAACAGCACATAGCAGTACTCCCCTTAGAAGTGGAAACGTTCGGCCAATAGTCACCGAATCAACCAAGTTGAACCCAGCCCTGGTAGGAGATACGAACTGCGAAGTGCAAGACCATACCATGTTGCTGAATACCACTGCACCAATCAACTACATGTTGAAGCGACCAAAGGGTCAGTCGGTCCAAAGTTGGATGGCGTTAACCGAATGCCATCAACAAAACCCAGCTGCCTGGGACTATACCCATTCTCTCGCACAGAAATAGTGATTCGAGATTACTTTCACCTTCCACGAAATATCTGCCTCTTCTGAACCTGCCAGAGATGCCTTTATTCTTACCTAGCGTCTAATTGGGAAGCGCGAGTATTTTGCAGCAGACCTAATGCACGACGGGGATTATTGCTCAGTTGTCATGTCAACCTTCTTGACAATTAGATCGACCTGACCACGATATTAATATAATATATCGATGTTTTATTATTCAAGCTATTTTGAAGAAGCCTAGTGATTGTCTACAATTGTAAGGAAAAGCTTATCCGGCTGTTGTTGATAGCTCTGGGGGGTAATAAGTTTGTTGGGTATCTTTTTTTCTTAGTCCTACTCATTAAACGCGATACACAGCGAATAACGTCATCGGGCTTGCTTGGCCAGTACCTGTCATGTCGTAAAACGCCGGTTTACAGCATTCCCCAATATTGTTATTTCTCTCTGAGTAGGGAAAAAGGCAGGATAACTATGGTCGATCAAAAAAGGGATATAAATACTTCTCCCGTCAGTCTCTGCAAAATTTTCATTATAGTCCCCCACAGAATATGTAAGTTGGTGGGAGAATTGAAGAATCATAAGGACTGACAGCAAGACGTAGGTCAGTGGGTGTGGCCAGCGGAGAAAGCAGTCTTCTGAAATTTCCAGTTATTAGTAGTAGACACGCAGGTAGATAAAAGTTATCTATACGGAAACAAGAATGCACAAGTACAAAGGGAACTGGCTGAACAGCTTATGAGTTGTCTGCAAGCGAATTTTATGGACACGGTCACCAACTCTCTCCACGTGTGGAATACCAGTGATTGCGATACTGGGGAAGAATACAAAGGAGTACTAAGTCAGGAACGTCACACCATGACAAAAGACAGATGCGTTTCTGCTGACTATCTAGATTGTTGCGAGCGAGCAAGGAAACGTGAAGCAACAGCGTGCCGGATGGAGTGAGTGCGTTACCATGCCCTTCTAACTTATCAGGTAGGTTAAAACTACAAACGTTGGTGTCATGGTTGATTCATGTGGAACCCTTGGCCATCAAATTTTCGGGGTTATCTGATTAAACATGTTTGCTTGAATTATCACCAATCCATGATGGAAGTCCATGCCAGCCTATCTGTCATTTTCCGACCAGCTTTCCTGGATTCCTTTTCATAACCTACGTTTTTACCTGTCTAGTTTTTCCTGCCCTTATAATCATCGCTGAACCAATCATAGCATGGTCAATGGCATTCTAGGGGACAGAAAATTTTGTATTGAACTGGACAGAAATTGGTCGACCTGGATGAGCTCAGGATCGGAGTTCGCCAAGAAGCGATCCTTGGACCACTCCCAATCTTTAATTCACAAGTGACCTCTGGTTGCGAATCTTCTTATCTATCCTCCTTTTTGGGGACAACATCAAAATGTAGGGAGAATTAGGGGGGAAAGGACCCTCGGAAACTCTAAAACAATCTGGTGCGGTTGGAGTTCCAGGTCAGCTGAGGATGTTCTGAGCTTTGACCGCGAGGAGTGCCAACTGACTTGTCTTGGCGTTCCAGGAGCGACGAAAACTGGCCACACTCCCCTCAAAAATGTCAGAGGTCACTGGTGAGTCCTAAGTGAAGGATTTGCATCTAAACGTCCCTGACACACTAGATGCCAGTGCCAACTATCAAAGAGTGGCAACAAGGGCTAATCCTATGATACATTTTCTGTGCAGGCAGCTTGGAACCCCAACCCATAAATAGTCCCCTTAGTATTCAGAACTTATATTAGGCCGAACCTAGAGGTGTCTAAAAGGATGTAAATGCTCTAGAAGGTGCCGAGTGGGGTGGGAAGGTGAGATTTCGGACTGACAGGTGAAACATACCCAAACCCCTTAGGCAACTCCACTTTTCCTCTAAAATCTATGGGGGAAAAGAAGCAACCTGGTAACAGTCGTGAAGTTCATCCGTCAAAGCCAACCACCTAAAAAATCGACGGTCCCACGGGCACATCGCTAGTATACCCCACAAGAGGAAAAATGTGAGAGTTAGATCTAAATTCTCCCACCAGGTGTGCGCCTTATGAAACGCTCTGCAAAGAGTAGCGAACGGCTCCCCACCAGCAAATGAAGTTGCGCTAGTTCATCACTGTATTACCCAACCCCGGTAACCACGACGCCATCCGTAACTTACCCACATTACTTCTAGTAACACTTATGTTCCGTAAGTACTATTCGCTGCTTTTTTCATATTCTACCCGTCTTATTTCTCACACCACTTCTTGGCCGATGCCTGACATTTACCTACAGAGGCTTGGGAAAAAAGGTTGCGAAAGATCGGCTGGTTACATAAGCAGCTCCGCTGCTGCCCCAAAACAAAAGCTTCCTATGACTAACAAAAGGCAACCTTCAAATGGATAATCATCACCCCAAAGTTGTTGGCCAATAGAGTGAAAAGACCTCTGAAACCATCAGAAGAGCATAACCGGGTAAAAATCAAATCTCAAGGCCTAGATACAAAGGTTTTAAAACTAAAAGTTTCCTCAGTCGACAATATTGATCCTAAATATTAAATTTTTAAATTGCTTAAAAGACGAAGGTTCCTTCACTAGATCAGAGTTCTTAGCCAACAGAAAATGAAGATGGAGTGACGGTGTCGCGGATGACTTTGATTCTTGGTTGTAAACCCTCACCGAAGCATTTCTTCAAAGCATGAAACTCAGAAATAATATCAAGTCGTTGAACTGCAGACTGTTGATTCCAGGGATCAGTCTACAACGACAAGTTTTACTTGAGAAGTTTCTTCACTGCTTTATATCAACTTACTCCAGTGGCGACAAATTTAGGCAATCACTGAAAAAAGAGATGTAATATCTGATGGCCTCATGTCTAGAAATACTCGGTTTGTGTATCCAAAAGGCAAATCTAGATACTTTTACCATGGACACAGAATCCCAGAAATATCCTGATCTTTGTTCCTGAAGCAGAGTTTACTATCCACACATGAAAACTGCGTGAGGACAAGCTGAAAGATCTGGGGCTCTACTCTCTAAGCTATTGTGGATTACGTGGTGATTTGATAACGGCTCGCAAAATACTAAGTAACCTAAGTCATCTGAAAAGTGGAGTCCCACTGAGAGGCCACCTTGGCGATTCTCGTGATAACTCAAGGAGAATCGCCCACCAAAAGTCAAAATCAACGTACTTTCATACTTCTTTTCTCGGAGGGTTTGCGGCCACTGGAACGCATTGCCTGCCGAGACTGCCACCACTCCGTCTGCCGACAGCTTCAAGAAGAAGTAGGACAGTTACGGAGTGACGCACGGCTTGCGCTCATCCAGCTGAAATATGGACTAAGCTGACACAACCTACTAACTCATTACGGCCAACCCATTGTCGATTACATCGTTACGCCACTATCACTGAGAACTTGACTCAACCTTATACTGCACTACAGACGTCCCCTCCAGTTACCGTCTCCTACTAGTAGAATTACTATATCTATTCCTGTAAGTCGTCCTATGGTGTTGCTTTCTCCTTCTCTTCCTACTGACTTTACGTTGTCACCCTTCTTACATGAATCCGCCTATGTTTCTTCCCCTGTACCGTTTCATTTTTCCTAATCTTTTTTCTCTACTTTTCTTCGCACTTTCTCTCCCTTGATTTCTCTGAACATATTTTCTATCTCCTTTTTACAACCAGACCAATCAATTGTCCGCTGACGTGACACTTGAGGAATCCATGTGCACCACAGACCTTGGTGAAACAACAACACATACTCCCTACAAATGTAACCAACACCTAACTGCCCGTCGGGCTAACCACAGCTACGGCAGTCGAGTAAATAGACCTACTGCATCGGAATCAACCAAAGACCTAGAACCGTTCCGCAAGACATAAGAGCGAGTGCTAAGAAATCAATTAGTTTATACTGCGTCGTGAAAAGGTATTGGATATCGGATGGAGTTCATCTGCCGCGCTGATTTTGTCCAGAAAACTTTGGCGGGTGCTTCCTAAGGTTTTCAGCAATGAGTCCACATGATGGCTCTGCAGATTCGCACTTTGTGTTAGATGTGTAATAATTTCACCAAGTTTTCTTATAGTTTGGTTCCTAAAGTGATAAATGGTGGAATTGCCGGAATCGTCGGTGTGACGTGTGTTTTTCCAATAGATCTTGTTAAAACAAGATTGCAAAATCAGCAAGAAGGAAGCAAATTATACAAAAATGTGTGAGTTTTTTTCCTCATATACTTGCTTATTTTAATCAGCTACCATAGAGAAAACCTTTATTGTGTGTTTGTGTACAACATACCTTTTGGACGTGTACGAACGCTTGAGAGTTTTTGATGACATCAAATAATACACTTATATAAGCATCGGTGGTGTGGAAATCATTCTGTTAGCTGAGTTAAACTTAAGTGGCCGTTGATCAAGTTACAGTCAAGCCAGATAAAGATTAGCAACCGCAAAACAGTGATAATCATTAGTAACAGGAAAGGTTAAAATGGTATCCCTTCGATAGCTGTTATAAGTCAGTGAAAGTGATAAAAGGTAGAGCAGTACTTTCACAGGGTACTTTTCTTACAAACTGCTGGAGTAAAAGTTCGGAATTTCTGGTGTGTATTTTGCTGTAAAGTCGCGATGAAAGTAATCGTCGTGAAATGTATTTTACCGTTATCTTTTTATGAGATAACCAGAAACCAACGGGATTCTTATGCTCCACAGTGGTTGAACCCACATATCCTGCCTAACTATCAAATTATGAGTGTAGGCATGATAAGATAATTGTGTTGTTCATTGCTGCTGGTAAGATTGGTGGGTGCCCCTCTGTTGTGATAGGCTGTTCAGGGTCGTCTCATCATCATTATCAACATAGGACCAGGCATTACTGCGTAACGGTCCGAGTTGCCACACCTCATATCAGCACATCAAGTAAAAAGGTAGTGAGGTGAAGGATGAAGATAAGTGAATGCAGTCAAAAGAAATATAAAGTACGAGAAGAAAGGAAAGAGGAGTGACAAAATAGTGAGATTCGGTATAGCGTTGTTAAGATGAGGATAATGTGTGTATACATCTGCGCCACTGACTTCGGTTCTGAGCCATATCACCTAGGGTCTCCAACCACTGGTTCCTCTTGTCCCGTGGACCCCAACCACCTAGTCTGCATCGTCCTACATGGCTTAAACCAACAGTCAGAGACTTCATACATTGGTGCCATGTTTTAGTCTGGCCACCTCGGGCCTTTTTCCAGCCTGAACCCACCTCAGCCAACATTGTGTGACGAGGCAATCGGTGACTAGGCATACGTAGTACGTGTCCCAACCATCTCAGTCGATGAAGGTTCACAACCTCGTCGACTGACTTACCTCTTCTCCCTAAAATTCTACACCTAACTTCTGCATTACTCACATGGTGACACCACGGAATACGTCCTATACTACGAAGGCAACGGTGGTCAAACACCTGAACCTTTTCATGTCTTCCACTTTCAATGGCCATGTTTCACAGCCATACAGTAGAACAGAGCGGACTGCTGTGCAGTACACGCGACCCTTAATAGACAAACGAATATCACGGCGGCGCCATAGGTGGCGCAAATTGGCAAAAGCCAATCGAGCCTTTTGTATCCGTGCAGAAATCTCATCGGCAACTAACCCACCGGGTTGATCCTACTTCCCAGGTAAGTGAAGTGGTCAACACACTCAACCACTTCACTCTCTATTGTTAACCGCGGTACCGCTGAAGACCAGTCCTGGAGCAAAAATTTGCATTTGGGTGGTGAAAATCGCATCCCAAACATTCTCAAATTCCCACTCAAAGTGTTCAGAAGACTCTGCATCTTGTCAGCGTCTTCACCTAACAGGACTATGTCATCTGCATATTCTAGATCTAAGGAAAATTCACCTGTGATCCGGTCAACGTCTTTGTAATTAGGTGACGAGAGGGAAACCTCCATAAGAATATCTATGATAAAATTAAATAAGAATGGGGATAGTGGGCATCCTTGACGGACACCACTTGATGAGTATAGCTCCCTGGACAACTCACCATAGGCTCTAACATGCCCACAAGTGTTCGAGTAGAGAGCTTTCAATAAGGTGATGTACTTACTAGGCACGCCTTTCAGTGACAGACACTGCCATAAGACTTCTCGATCAACGGAGTCAAATGCCGCCTTCAGGTCGAGAAATACAGCTATTGTCGGGCGTCTGTAAGCATGCCTATGTTCCAGGACCTGGCGCAGTGTGAATATTTGGTCGATACATCCACGGCCAGGTCTAAAGCCTGCCTGGTTTTCTCGGGCTTGCTGTTCCCGAGCTCCACTCAGGCGTCGGAGAATTATAGAACTTAGGATCTTAGACACTATGTTTGTCAGGCTGATTCCTCTGTGGTTATCACAAGAGGACTTCTCGCCTTTCTTGAAGACTGGGATGATGAGTGACTTAGACCAGTCGGAGGGGATCGTATTTGATTCCCATATACTGGCTAACACTTCCGTTAGCCTGACTAAGAGAACTCTACCACCATTCTTGTATACCTCAGCAGGTAGTCCGTCTGGTCCTGCTGCCCTTCCCCGTTTCAGGCTACCTACCGCTTTCTCAACTTCTTCTAGTGTTGGGGGACCTGTCTCTATGTCCCATTCAGGGTCCGACTGGATAGCGGGCAGCGCAATGGTGGCTGGAGGCCAGTTAAACTGTTCCTCAAAGTGTTCTGCCCATCGTCCCAGTCGCCTTCCCTGCGAGTGAATCGCCGATCCGTCCTTCTCCGCTATAACCTCACTAACTGTTGTTGACCATTTCCCCCCAGTCTCCTTAATAAGTCTAAATAACTGTCTACTGTTACCGATCGCCGCTGCCTTTTCCATCTCTTTAGCCTTTGCTGCCCACCACTGTTCACGATCGTTGCGCAGACTTTTCGTCAGTTATTTTTAAGTTGCGCTCGCTCTTCATTGTACTCAGAGCCTGCAGGGATGCATTCACGTGCATCCATTAGTTTGGAAGAAGCTGCTGATATCCACTGGCTCTTTTTAGCCATTATCTTGGAGTCGGCTACAGTCTCCAGTGCTGCTTTTACAGTAGACTGAAGATGGCACCAAGCTTCTTCTGGATGAGTGACAGTCTTTTGTTCCGATAACTGCCTAGCCAACTTCTCACTGAACACGGCTTTGGTGTTTTCGTTGTCCAGCAGAACTCGTAGTGGTTTTGTTGCCAAATTTTTTCTACGTCCATTGAGACGCAGGCATATACGTGCTCGGACCAACGCATGATCGCTGTCCAAACACGTACTCCAGAAGGAGCGGCAGTCTTCCACCGATCCTCTCCAGCGATGACTAATAGCAATGTGGTCTATCTGTGTCCATCGCTGAGTCGAGCTCGGTGGACGCCAGGTCAGACAGTGCCTTTCTTTATGTCTGAAATTTGTGCTGGCTAAAAATAGGCGGTTATCTGAGCATAGTTGTAATAGGCGATCACCGTTATCTGTACGTTCAGCTGGGATTCCGAAAGTGCCACCTAAGTGCCTTTCTGCCTCACTCAGTCTACCCACCTGTGCGTTGAGGTCACCTGCAACAACCACTACGTCCGAACGTTTGGCTTTCGAGAGGAGGTTAGACAGTTTATGGTAGAACTCGTCCTTCACTTCATCCGAGCTACAGTCAGTGGGTGCGTAAGCAGAGATTACAAAGAGACAACGGCGAGTCTCACTATTCCTTTTAGTTCTCACTGTGCCGTTCAGCCTCATAGCGCAGAGGCGACTATCAACTGGGATCCAGTCTAGTAGTGAGTTTTCAGGGTCGTCTGGACAACTGTTAACTTGAGCTTACTGTTTAGGCAAGGAATCAGTGAGCGGTCATACGAAACATTCTGAGGAATGAGACGTCTGTTTTTTGAATAAAATAAAATAGTTTGACATATAATGCTAATGTTTCTAAGTTTAATCGCTCTAGGTGATGAAACTGCAAAGTTTGAAAGTTGAGTTATCGCTATGATGTAATTGTGGGCAATTACTTCTGCTCGGGACTTTATTTAATATTTAATATTGTATCACTGGGTGCTATATCCAATAAACAGTTTAATATAAAATTATAGTAAGCCTGAAAACCACGTGAGGGTTGCATCTTAAGTTGGATTGGAAGTTCAAAGTATATTTTTCAAAGTTAATCGTCCCACGGACTGTCATTGTGTTACTCAATAGTGCATCCCATGTCACTTTCGAAATAGCACTGCGTCTCACTTTCCCTATCTCTAACATTTCAAAACAAACTTTAAAATGTCATCTCTTGTAAATTGTTAATGGTGATCTATTGCTGTAGCCTGTAGTTCAACATGCTATTAGGTCAACTGTAGTTTCCCTTTGTAGCCAACTACCGTTTTATCGTCATGACGCCTCGTGTTATTCAAAATCCTTTCACTTATGAATAGGGGACTGGGATAATTCGTTAAGATGCTAGTAATCAGAGATGTAAAACTGTAAGAGAAAATGTTAGGATTTTGGGACAAAAAACTAGGGTAGTGTGGTAAGTTTCTTCATAATGGAATGACTAGTGAATTCAACTTTATTTTCTATAGGCTTTATTAGTACGAGTCTGGTGACATTTTTTGCGTTATCCACCAAGAAGCATCAAATAAATTTATGTGCATCAAGGCAGTATGTTGTTAATAAATCTTTTCTGAGTACATAACTCTTTAGGTCTCTAGGTCATATTCTCTTCTTTTGTTAGCTTGGACTGTGCCAAGAAAACCTACCGCGCTGAAGGATTTTTCGGCATGTACAGGGGTAAGCATCCGACTATGTTCCAATGTGATGATTATCAGGTTCAGTTTTGTACTGTCTGTAGGAAAATATCTTTCGATGACATTGTTGTTATTTCGGTGTTCTTCGGATTTCTGCTTAAGTATACAATTTCCTGTACGTACACCTACGATACCTATGTAGAATTTATTAAACAATATCAACGTTGTTTTCCATCTCGTAAGGTGTCATCCTGTTTATGTTGAAAAGTTCATATATGAAAGTTTGGATTTGAATGATCTTATATTAATAACACCTGGTATGCATGTTAATGATTGAGCTGCATAAACAAACACTCAAGACATCCGACCTGATACCTTTCACAGACTACAAGTTGTCGCATTTCATATAGGCGCTTGGAGATTAACATCAAGGTAGAAATGAAGGGAAAATACTGCATATTGTAAAATCCCATAAGATGTGGTTTCTATAGGGATAAGTGAACTGTTGTTGAATCCATTGGATCGGGAATGATGAGTACTGCGTTAGTTCGGTCTCTAATTTTTCTAATCGGTATCTGCAAATTCAGCCGCTTAAAATATGCCGTTTCCGTTTGAATATTCTGGCTACTAAATAGCATATTATGTCTCTGGGTTGTTGGATGAGGGTGTCATGATGTGTTATCTCATTCGGGTCTTTATGATTAATTATTTTAATAAGAAAATTCATAATCTCAGGTTATATATGTTTGACAGGAATTGTCAAACAGATTGAAAGTCTTTTTTGTACGTGCTTTCGACGGTGTTTTAGGAGTCATTAAAAGATGAACTTTAGAAAATGCTGGTAGACTGGGTTTTAAAGCAATAATCTAATGACTATCAGTTTCGAGCGAAATACATTGATGACCAGTCATTCCCAGCTGAAAGAAATGAGGTAGTACGTTGAGATCAAATGCATCTAATTGCAGCCGATTTGCTTATTTGAGAGTTCTAAGGTTGAAATCATTCAATGCTGTCAGTGTAAAGTGGTTAATGCAGTATTCTTACCGTAATTAAATCAGGTCTGTTAACTAAGGATGATTATTCGCTTCTAGCACAAGACCATAGGATCGGTAGACTAGTACTAATCTTGGAAGTGGAACTAAACCACACAACGCAACCGAACAGCCTGCCATTTACTGTTTGAAATGAAAGTAAACAAAAGTATTCAGTCAAGATAGTCGGCTTGTTAGATGAAGAGATCGAACGAGTAGGTAAATCCCCATGAAGGAATAGGTCTTCACTTTCTCTATAACCCTTTAACAACAGGTAACATTTGGTTAAAATATTTATTTTCAATGATCTTTGCGTATCAAAATCGAAATCCACTCAGCAACCTTGCGCAAATTCATGTATCAAGCGAAGAACTAGGTATATTGTGTGAGGACCGCTCAAACCTCCGTAGGTGTAGTGGTGTTTAAACCCACCACCCACTAGTTGAAAGTCAACCGCCTAAACCAACAGGCCACAACTCCACATCTTTGAGTGTACTTCTATCTAAATAAATAAACCATCAGTTGACTAAGTTGCGAGAAAATAATTTATAATATTTAGCTTTTAGTGTAATTCTGCCTGAATATTATCGGTGATTTTCTAGTAACTCAGCTATCTGGTATAGGTTTATTTGTTAGACTATTGAGAGTAGGCGTAATGTATGAGAGCTTTTTATACCATTCGATTTCCCGAGTCATGGAAAATAGAATGTAACTCGAAGCTGTGGCACGATAATTTGTTCTCTGAAGCCCAACTCAATTATTCACACTGGTGCAACCTAAACATTTTAAAGTTGTCTAACCTGTTTGGTGTCAGCAGTGAAACGGGGGACAAAAATGCAACCATACACTGATTGATAGGCAATGATTTTCTTTCAATTGCGTTTTCCTGGATTGATACTACCCAATTGCCCCGATGAAAGTAGGTGGAACGGGACTTAAACCTAAGATCCACTGCTTAAAAGTCAAGTGTTTACCTAGTGGATGAGTTATATTCAGGTTTCTTGAGTTACTAGTTGAGTATAGAGTGAGTTGATAATTGTGAAAGTTGTAAGCAAATATCTATTTTTTTCAATCTAAAATATCAATGTTAAAGAACATTTTGCAAATAGTCTAATCTAATTTCAAGAATTTGTTACCGTCTAAAAAACAACACAATGCTACATAGTTTTTATTATTTCCCCTAATTTTAGGGAGTGGTGTTAACCTTCTCTTGATTACACCAGAGAAAGCAATAAAGCTAGTTGGCAATGATTTCTTCCGCTATCACTTGAAAAGTGAAGGGTAAGTTTCAGTTATAGTTTATTTACTATTCAATTGGTTGTTAGATTTCTAATTGGAAAGCTTAAGAAATTACTGTTCAGTGAATCACGTGCAGGCGATATAAACCTATCAATTCACAATTATTTATCCATGTTGATAAGATATTGATAAGATTCAAATCCTATGCGTATTCTGAAGTATGTATAATAGATTTCAGCGTTTGTGTAAAAGAAGTATTTGGTTAAATCTAACCAAATTAAACCTCCAAAAAGTGGCTACCTTGATGGATAGCACAAAATACGAATGCTGTATGGTGGAAACTTACTTTGCTTGCACAGATCATCATCCTTAAAAATGACTGCAAGAAGAGTCACTGTTTTCCTTCTTATTCGTTGTGCGATATTTTAACTTGCTTGATATTGACTTAATATACCTTTTTGTGATCGGTTAGTTTCTTTTAATTACTGAAGTGAAACAGTTTTATTCTAATTATATCCATGCCGGTTTTATTTATCTAAACCAATTTTGCTATTTTACATTGTTTTGGCTTTTTTAATTGGAATTGCATTGACTGACGGTTTTCTAATTAAAAAAAGTATGTTAATTTGAGTGAATAAGCATGCCTCTGCCTCATTAGTCAGTCCTTTTGATTCAACTTTATACACGGCAGTGAAACCATATTTAATCGGAATTCTCAGCTCATTTCGTTCGCATCATAAAGCTGTGTGCATATGTATTTAAGGTTCTAACATCATTTGATTGACAAAATTTGAATCTGTGCAATAAAAAAGTAGAAACTTCTAACTTCCTATTTGTTATCCTAGATTTAAGAGACTGTAGGTTCCTCACTTACTGTTTGCATTTTGAACCGTGGCTAAGTAAAGAGAAGAAGTGCACCGAAGACAGACAAGGATATTAACAACTTAGAATCATAATTTCGTATCAGTGGAAGTTAACACACTTCAGATAAGAGGAAATCAACTTAAGGCAAAGTGAAGTAGTGAGAATGATGCTGAGAAAACAAACAAGGAAATTGAGACTGTCGAATTACAATAATCAGACGTTCAACGTTTAGATAGAGATAAGGTGTTGATACATGTGTACCATTGCAACCGATTTTAAAACATGTTGGGTATTTTTTAGTCATTTCTTCAGGATGACCCGTTTATCCTCAGTCGAGAAGCTTACAGTTCTCAAACGCCTTCATGGATGGGAACTGTGTTTTGGTCTGGATACTCAGCTTTTGTTTAGCCGAATACTATTTCAAAGTTATTTATCAGGACATGCATAAAAAATCCCAATCATTTCAGTCGGTGAAAGTTAACTGTAACTTCGTTAGCAGTTAAAGACTAAAAACTGGTGTTCTATTCAGTCTACATTTGTAAAACGGATAACCATCATGGCTTCTCCTTTAATTGCTACTTACATTGGTGCGGTGACATCCACCCTGACTATTGCTCACCACCATTCATGGTCATTAGATGGGTTTGTCGGCTACCGATAATCATCATTCGCTTCTCGTTGTGCTCTTAGTCAATGGGGACAGTCCATACACAGTTTCTCCTATTCGCTTCCTTTTCATAGCTTTCTTTTTGTTACCGGTATTTGTTTTGCAGAAAACTGAAATTTACTCCAGGTTACCTCAAGAAGAGTGTTAATGTTATAGATCGGTAATTATATAGCGTGTTTCTGCCTAAATGCACCCTTAACATTTGCATCTTTTAGTTGATCTCATCAAAGTCTTCTGTTTATATTTTCTCAGTGTCTATTACTATTCAAGTACACATTTGAAATGGCTTTTAATCAGGATTAAAACAAATGCCTGAAAACGACTGACGACCCTCTACAGATCGGTCAGTCAGTATCAACACGAAACCTAGTATTTCTGCGTAACTGTCCAAGTTGCCACACTTCACACCTTCAAGTCTCCTAGGCAGCTAAACGAAATGCAGCGAGCTATAAATAGTGCAATGAAAACTGTGGAAAGTCGTATAACGGATTGTAGAGAAACTAAAGTATATGAGTAAGTGCGATATGACCGTTAAGATAATGATAAAGTTTAGATGCATTTTTGCCACTTCGATTGATTTTGAACCATATCATTAACAGCCTCCAACCAGGAGTGTCGGTTGGTATACATATCCCAACTAAGGAATTCTAGATCCTCTTATACGGCTCAGGTCAACAGTCAGATTTCATGGACTAATGCCAAATTTTTGTTTGAGCACGTTTTATCCTTTTCAACTTACTCTTACTTCGAATAACAATGCACATCAGGATAGATGGGAAGTATACAAGCTTAACAAATCAACCAGTTATTTAAGTCGATGAAGGTTTATAACCTCATCAAAACTCTACATCTGACTTCTGGATTACTGATGTAGTGTGGCGTCAGTTGATAAAATCTAATCGCAGCATTGCTCGCGTTTGGTGAAATCATCGTGTAAGAAACGTTTCGGTCAGACAGGGGGTACTAGGCAAGACAGGCAAGTCGATTGATGAGGTTGTGAACCTTAGATAACTCAGATGGTTTGAACATGTACTGCGCATGCTGAGCCATCCTCTACCTCGATGTCCTATAGTAGAGAAAGCTGGATCAGTTGGAAGATCGCTCAAGGTCGCCGGACGAAGACGTGGTAGCAGTCGGTGTAGTCACTTACTGTTAGTCTTAGTCGGGTATGTAGATGTAGACTGCCTGGCTAAGGTCCACGGGATGAAGGGATTCAGTGGTTGAGGAATCTTAGTGACATGACTGGAAATCGGTCACAGTGGCACAGTTATATATTCACTCCTTGACATCTAAAGCTTGAATATATTCGCTAACTGTTATCTTCAGATTGTTTATTCTGCCACAACTTTTTCTTCTTTGATATCAGTCATTTTTATCCACGTGTTCTTTGTATACCACTATGAAGTGTGGCAACTTGAAGCGATGGACTTGTGTGCGTAGTTCTATGTTGATTTTGTCAGTCAGTCAATCGAATTTTTTGTGTAACTGTGCTGAGATGTTATCGGGAACCTTCAAAGGTAGAATGGCAAAGCCGTTTACTACATCCCAGTGTTGAGTAGCAACCTTTCGACTGGAAACTTTTTTGCGAATGGAGTGATATTCATGGGCAATGCATGTCACATAGTATAACTGGTCTATTTAATAAAGTGAGTAATTCAGCAGTTAACCTGAAGGGATACGAGAAACCATTGCTTTATACCAACAGCTTGTTGATTACTTTTCTCTAACGACTTTTCCACAGTTATATTTAGACTCTTCATACGTTGGTAAAGTGTGTATTTTCTGTGTATGAAAATTTCCGCATTAGCGCCCAACTTTTGGAATTCGAGTTGAGTATTTCAATGTTCGAATTCCGTTATCTCTCCCTTAGACTGTGTGTTTAGATAAACTGTGTTTCCTTTATGATAAGTTTGGAATGAATGTTTACACAGTGGTAGATAAGCTTTTTAAACTCCGTCTAGATTAAAATCCTAATTGTTGCCGTGAGTATCACAGGCCATAGTATTGCTCAAAATATTACTAAGGCTTTCAAGAGTTAGTCTTTAAATTTATCTATGATAAATTGATTCATTCTGTGATGCATAAACTCATCGTGATGTAGTTAGGTTTCTCTATATAGGCCACTTACAGCAACAAAAATAACCAATAAGACTGAAGTTTGTGCTGACGATATTGCCTAGAATAACAGTGAGGGCTTCAGGACTAAACAATCCAGCTCAGAGAACATAACACCATGAAAAAGGCTCATTTATATTCTGGAAATCTGTCCAGCTGAAATTAAGGAATCTAACTGAATATTTCAGTCGTTGCCAAGGTTGACCTGTAACGGTCATCCATGTAATCTATTGCTTATTCACTGAGTTGACTACATGACTCATTCCAAGAAGTTCACTGTGAATTTTTTAAAAACAAAGTTAACATGCAATTTGACTAATTATATATTACTTGTTTTTCACATTTTTTTAGAAAGCCTTTAACTCCAATTCGTGAAATGCTTGCTGGAGCCGGTGCAGGATCTTGTCAAATTATTATAACTACTCCGATGGAATTATTAAAAATACAATTACAAGACGCTGGTCGAACTTCAGGTCAGTATTTGTTTAGTGTTTTCCCGTATGTATGTAAACCCTATTTCTTTTATTTGGTTGTAAATTTGCGATAGCGTGTACAAATGGAAAGTTGAAAACGTCAATTGATGAAGAATGGTCAGGCTGACAGTGAGCTTACTTCGTATATTAAATACTTCAAGGAAGGGTATCCTAAGTAAGTACTGTTTTCTTCAGTACCTTTAACTAGTTTTAGGTTTGCCTGATAGGTTTGTTGAATACACTGTGATGATATATCTTGTGAAGGCAGTGAATACTCTGATAGTAAGAAAAGCCAATATTTTGATCATTGAATGTTTTACTTTGGCACATATCTCAAACATTAAAAGTTAGTATATCTTAGAAATGAAGCTTTTTAGCCTCGCATATACCAGTTGATAAGTTAGTACTCTTATTTGCGTAGCAGAAGAAACATGAGGTTTTTGGTTTCTGGAAGTGTATGTGAATGCACCGTATAGACATTTAACGACATGTAGATGTAGAAACTGGATAGTGTTGTATTGAAGAGACAGAAGACAACTCGACGACGGTTACATCTGCACTACTGACATCGATTCCGAACCATATCACCTACAGTCTCTACCCACTGGTTTATGTTATCATGTGGACCCCAATCGGCTTCTTTTCATTTCCCAGCGTGGCCAAAACCCAGCCAAAGACTTTCTGCAGAGATGCCATGTTACAGTCCGGCCACGTCGAGCTTTTTTTCAGCTTGTATATACCACAGCCAACATTTTACGATGAGACTGACAGTGACTAGACATGCGTAACAAATGTCCCAGTCATCTCAGCCTATGAAAGTTAACGACCTCATCAACTGACTTCCTTCTCCTGCCTAAAACTGTACACCTGACTTCTGCGTTACTCACGTGGTGACACCACGAGACGCTGCCAAGGCAACAGTGGTCAAACACCTAAAGCCGTATCATGTCTACCTTTGTTGGCCAAGTTTGACAGCCTTACAACAGAACAAAGCAAACTGCAATACAGTACACTCGACCGTTAATAGGCAATCAAATATCGTGGTGGCGTCACAAGTGCTGTAGGTTGACAAAAACCAATCGAACTTTTATATTTGTCCAGAAATTTTGTTGGCCACTGGTATGACCCAACTTGCCAGGTAAGTGAAGTGGTGGACGCACTGAATCGATTCACTGTCTACTCATTAACCGACGCACCGCTGAAGATTATTCCTGGGGCAATAATGTGTATGTCCAGAGAAACGCATCCTAAACATTGTCAAGTTCACACTCGAGGTGTCCAGAAGAGTTGGCATCCTGTCGGCGATAATTACGATAATCACAAAGCAATGTGAAACCTAGTTTTCAAGTGTTCTAATTTTCTTCTCTTAGTTTTCTTTCTGGTGGTGGTGGGGTTAGTGAACTAGTTGTTAAACGACCGATGTTCCATATATCAAGTAAAAATTCGATAACGTAGTGAATAATCAGTTTGCCTACCTTTAAATCTTTATTCGAAATTTTACCATCAGTTTATTTTAGCCTCTTGTGCGGTCATCCTCAAAAGTATCCGTAAGATTTTCCCCTATTTTACTCTTCAGGGTGAACGTCTCCTCTGCATCTGTCATACTAACGTGTCCATGTACTCCGATCACCTAATTTGTCCCAATTATTGTCATTGCATGAAATTTGGTTTGATTGGTTTTATGGTTGAATTTAATCATCAAAATCTTTTGACTATATAACAATAGCAAGCTTAAAAGTAAATGATTATCGTTTCTCAAATCAGAAATAATGCACAGTGATTTCCTGGAACAAATGTCAAAGGGACTGGTCACTATGATGTTTGAGAATATGCAACGATTGTACTACCGTTATACGGGATAGTCCTAAATATTTTTTTTCGACGTTTATGTACTTACATGGAAAATAACTACTGACATATGTAGTTGGAAAAAGTCACCAATAACACTGGTATTGGCATCATCAAATGTCACACCCCTGTGTTGTTACGATTTGAGAAAAACGCTGATGACAACTTACACTAAGAACAAGTGGTACTAAAGAGTGCCCTAGCAACGACCGAAATAGCCGATAGCCAATAAAATAGAGGTGTGATTGCTTATTTCTTTTTTTATTAGCGTAGCCTTTGGAATCACACTAACACTACCACACAAAAACTGAATAGGAGTGTTAATTGAAATATATTCATAGTGATAGTCATCACTTACAGGAGAAACCAGGTTGTTGATTTTCTGAACCGAGTTGTTCCGACTATATTGAGTGTAGAAGGTTGATTTTAATCTGAAGCACCTTGAGTGATGACAGAGTTGTGTGGGCGGTTGATACTTCCCGGCTGCCCACACCGTGGTAAATTATTTCTTCCTAGGGTACCTGAAAGAGAAAAAGATTTGCATGACCACAGAGTCCATGAGACAATTTGTTCGAAGTGTGTCACACAGCTGTTTGAGGACTGCTGTTTTCAGGTTTAGCTGTTCTAACTCTGGATAGCTGAAATCAGTACCGCCGGCACCGGAAGATGGTGGAGCAGGAAAGAGTGCTCTGTTTTGGGGGCCAACTTTTTCTAACCCTCTTCCTCACATCATCAGCGTGACGCTGTTGTCACACCCCCATCCAGCTAACAGTAAGACAACTTCACCTTCAAATCCCTATCATAGTATAGGGATTTACACTGCAACTTTAACTGCTTTTCGTCTTATCTATCTAACAGACCTTTGTGGCACGATAGGACCTCGAGGGACTAAGCGTTGTTGCCAATGTTATTCATTGGGTCATTGTGATATACGAGCCTGACCGCCACCCCAGGTTAGCATCTATCAGTCGGGTTTCACACTTTATCTTCGTCATAACTACTCTACTGAATTCAACATTTTTTCATTGCTCCTCCCTATATTTTGGTATTCTTGACTGGTTTATCTTAATCTTTAGTCTTATTACTGTGTTACTTGTTGTGCTGGTTTGAGGTGTGACAACTTGGACGGTTGTGCTGTAATGCCTGGTTCTATGTTGATAATGATTGATTGATTAACTATAATGAGTCTGTAAATCACTTCTTTTCTCCCTAATTTTAATGGTATTACTGTTATAAATATTTTTTTCAGTTCATATCAGTTTTTTGAATGCATTAGTTAAAAAAAATATTCTCTTAGTAATCACTGAACATGCATCTTATCTTTTTGTTTTCTGTATTTGTATGTCCAGCACCTGTAACTAGCTTCAATAGTAGTGGTGCTGGCGGCGTCTGTGTGGAAACGCGTTTGTCTGCTACCCAGCTTGCTATCAAACTAATTCGTGAAAAAGGCATATTCGGTCTTTATCGTGGAATGGGTGCTACATTTTTGCGAGATGTGTCATTTTCAATGATATATTTCCCATTGTTTGCAAATATCAATGCTCTGGTAAGTAATTATGATTTTGTTTGCCACAGTTAGCCTGCATGTTGAAATTATTTTTTATAAACTATCAAAAACACCGTCATTTAAAGTAAATATCCATTGAATGTAGACTCAGAAGAGTAGTTATTCGTTCATTCTTTTAGTTCATCACTCCTTGTGGAACTAATTTGACCAGTTTCTATTGACAAATGAGTCTTTTGAACGGATGTTTATGGCGCAACAAATGGCTTTCGTGGCTTAATAACTTACTGGATAACTCTGTAGCACTTTAATTGACTGGTGCTAGATATAATTCTCAGTGGGGATAATGACACGGGTGGTAACTACACTCTCTGATGAGTCTCAAATAGGAGAAAGAGCGTGTGCTTAATTCTACTGCTCCCTGCCATCAAACGAATAGTGTTTTGAATTTCCTAACCTGTGTCAGTTAGGGATGATTTCAAACTGAAGGATCATTTATTCCGTCAGTATCTCTTAGCAGTGGGGGAAATTCCTTATTTCATTTACTTTAACAAACTTTCATGTATATCAATACAGTCACCATTTGATCTAAAGAGAAATTAAAACAGCATTTGAAAGTAATGAATAGAAATTTTTGTAAGAGGAAAATGATAGAATTTATAAAAAAAATAGAGGTTGTGATGGTATCATTTAGTTAGGCAAATATTTAAACTTAACGATATCGAACGCGGTGTGAACTCCTGGCTAGTGTTACTTACAATCAAATAACTACAAATAGTTCGAAAAAGTGTGAACGATATTAATTTCATTTACTGATATTCAATTGAGTGTGTTAATCTAAGTTGGAGATTAACACGCTTTTGCTACTGCCGTTGCATTCATACCATTCCCTTTATATCTTGAGATCACGAGATTAATATTGTAAAGGTTACAGATGGATACAAGTCAGTTGATAAGGTTACGGACGTTTATCGATTCGCAATGATACTATAAGCAGATGTTAGTTGAATGGAGGCAGTCAATGAGAAGCCCTGGACCTAGTTTCATGTTTTCTGGGAGTCGTCAGAGAGACATATCTGAAACCTCTATGAAATTGATGTCTCGCCTGAGATTCGGAACCTCGTCACCCAGTGCTGTAGTAAGAGACGTTACTACTGAGGTATTCGGGCCACAACTGACCTCCTGTAGGATTGGATTAGGCACACCGATTGGCCACCGGAGCTGGGCTTCGTGCTTTTTGTCACTCATCAACAAGGGGTATCTGAAACCCACCTTGATCCAGGGATCCCTGCCGATTGCCTCCATCCAACTAACGTTTATTATAGTGCACCGCTATGTTGACTCACCTAGCCTGGTGGCCACATTGTCAATATCATCGACAGAATCCGATCAGCACTTAGGAAAAGAGAACATGAAGTTGGTTATCCTTCAGTGACCAAGATACCATAGGCAGTAGGACTCTGGAAAAAGGCCAAGGGTTATCAGTCTTGGAACGTTGGTCTGAGCTGTATAGGGGATGGTAGACTTCCTTGGTCGAGATTCACATGCTAACGTAAACTGATGGTTGGAGACTGTTAGTGAAAGGATTCGGAATCGATTGAAGTGATGCGAATGGATCCACAGATAATCCAAATCATCATATTAGATTTCGTTATTTACGTGACCTGCTCTTCTGTCATAACTACCTACTGCTTTTGTGTACCTTTCTATTTCCCTTTCATCTGGATGTCTTGTATCTTGAAGTATGTGTACGGTCTGACTCTTCAAACCGTTCTTTGCTGGCTGAATACCCACTACAGTCATCAAGTGAATTGTACATGGCTACTGGAACGGGCTTGTATTGTGTTTTTCAACACTGGTTCACGAAAATCCGTTTTCCTTGATTTCACTGAACCTTCTTATTTTCCTCTCTACCAGTCAAATTTATATGTCACTTTAGATGACTTTTGTTTCATTATCTTTTTTTAGGGTCCCCGAAGATCTTCAGAAAGCGTAGAGGCTGTTTTCTACTGGTCATTTCTGTCAGGATTTGTAGCTGGGACAATTGCAGCATTCAGTGTAACACCATTAGACGGTACGTATCAACCGTTAATCAAATTACCAGTGTTCTCAATATTTAAAATTACCAAATTGTGTTAATTTATTGGAAATGCAGTTGAACAGAGAAGGTTTCCTTTGTTCCTCCAACTGATGTCAGTCTTCGATGAATAACAACTTGAAACATTTCCAAATCTCCACAACCCCCTCAAAATTTAAGAGAAGAAATAAGTAGATTCTTTTCTAAGTATATATATATATATATATATATATATATATATATATATATATATATATATATATATCATTCCCAAGGTAGGGAGGGATAAAGGCTGCGTAAATATCTTTTTAAAACAAAGCTTTGGATTGCTCATTCGAATTCCTATCGCCTCAGCCAAATTTAAACGGCGAATTTGAACTCCATCGGTAATACGTTGGTTAAGTTCCTTAGTCGTACTCCAGATATGGTCACACTATAGCATTAAATGACGTAGGTTGGAAAGCTTGGGCAATTAATTTCCCATCCAATGACTCTCAGCTAAGTTACAAAAGCTGAGATTAAACAACCGCCCTGCGATCCTTTCTTCTTTAGTGGTTCTCTAGTTGGTGTCAATTTTCCCATAAAAACTGTAATTTGAACGATAAATTATTATTTGAACCTACGTTCTCTGGTTAGTGGTTTTAGGGTACAGCTATGCATTACACTCAATGTAAGTTAAGCTTGAAAAGCGGTCTTTACTAAAGATGTATTTAGTTAACTGCACATCGGGATGGATACTGATAACATCCAGAAATGAACCTTCGTATTTATGCTGTAGCTCCTAGTATGATTCACAAGCTTCAATCAGTCTTTCTTTTTGCCAGTTAATTAATTTTTAAGGTAGTGTTCATCACAAGTCGACATCAGTCGGAGAACTACTGAAAACTTGGGGTGGACTATATACCTGTTTCAGCCCAGTATTGGACTCCTCAGTAGTACGCACTCATGACGCTGATGGCAATTGAACTCAGGACTTTCATGTTTCACGGCGAACATGTTAATCACTCAGTCATTGGGTTAGAGTTCAGGGGTTCACAGTTTCATGCTTCTGTTAATTCGTGATATATAGCATGACTATCACCCAAGGTCTTAAGCATCCTTTTCACTTCAGACTGGTTGACCCCCCACAGACCATGGCTTCTCATTAGAACTTCGGGATATCCACCTCACGGCATGTCACTAATTATTTAATTGGTGCAAGTAAACTCGTTACGGGTGTATTCATCACTACACTATCGGCTACAACTGTGGTTTAAGGTTTCAATATGCTTTCCGGTTACCCAGTCCAAAGATAAGAGGTGCTAGATTTGATTGCGCGAGAGTCAACTGCTTGAACTAATTATCCATATCTCCACTCTATTATATTGTCTGCTTATGCTTAAGTTAGTTGGTAAGGGTTTTATTTCTAGAAGATGTGAAATCGAGGCTGCATTTACGCTATAGTCGTTATAGGTCAGACAGTCGATCCCGATACTGCTATTCTTATGGGTGGTTATCAACATAAATATGTCCTCTTTTATCGTTTGATAGTTATTTTCAACCAATTATGTATTTGATTTTAGGTTGGAATTCATCATGGACTGACATCAGTTGGAGGAACATTGGGAACCTGGGTGCACTACCCAGATGTTTCTTCCTAGTATAGGACTTCTCAACAGTGCTCATCCGTGACCTTACACCACCAGGGACCGAAGCTAGGACCTTCAGGTTCCTTGGCCAGCATGTAACCACTGAGCTAGCCACAGAATCGGAATCCAATCGTTCAACCTAAAACCAATTAATAAATCTCCACAAACTTTCAGATGGAATTTATCTGATGCTCATTAGTGACTAGCTTCGAGAGGTAAAGTTCCAATAAGAAGTAGTGGCTACTCGAGTCAACCAAGTCGAACATGAGGACAGTTACTCAACGATGACATTGGATGTAGTTTGCGGTGTATCATGAACTGACAGAAGTAGGAAATGTGGATTCTGACCCAGTGCCTCAACGGTAACATCCTGGTCACGGAATTTGAAGTTCCTGGGTTCGACCGCTGGTGGGGCAGTGTTGTGGGTGCGCACTGCTGATGAGTCCCATAGTGGGACGAAACAGCTGTTGAGTGCTCCCAGGTTTCCAATGTTCCTCCAACTGATGTCAGTCCATGATGAATGCCAACCTAAAATGAATAAATAAACCTCCAAATAGAATTATGTATTTGCTTTCGTTATTTTCATCAATTAATAAATTTAAAGTTAGGTCGTACACTGGTTCATCAAAAAACAAGTTACATGCAAGAAATGCTAATCCAGACAATGTAGTGCGTCAGTAAAGTACGAATTTTTCGTCCATCTCATTCTTGGCATGCATATTTGTTTTAAAAAAAACTGCCAGTTGCATTTTGTAGTTTAACAACTGCCGATTGCTTCCATCCGAATAGGATGAAACGATTGTCTATATAGATGTTTGGCTTTAAACCTTACGAGTCAAGGGTTTGACCCCCAGTCTATTTATTGTGGATTAAACAGTCAGTCGGTTTTATCGAGACTTTACCCTACAGATATCCTCTACAGACAGCACATCTCATCTTTTTCGATTCATGGTTAATATCTCGTTGATCGATCTACCACACAAAATGGTAAAGATGATTCTGGAGTACATTCACTTTTTATACTTAGTTCTTTATTGAAATAGTACTGCGAATCGAAATGACCATGATTTTGTGGTATTTCATCAATATTGAAATTGTAAAGTGGCTTTAAGCATAATGTTCCCTTTTTCTAATTATTATCTGTAATAGTGGTAAAAACACGACTGCAAACAATCAAACATGTTGAAGGAGAAAAGGTTTTCAAAGGTATTCCAGATTGTTTTATGTAAGTTTCTTTATATTTGTACAGTATATATTTCATTCGTTATTTCTGTAATCTGTTATAGTTTTTCAATTCATTCATTATTCTATTGCATTTTTAGCTTCTAACACAAAGATGATGCCACAAAGGTATGATAATAATAAGACAATATTGTGAAAGCGTAAATAGAAGAAGGTTGAGAGAGTGAGATTGATTATCATAATCCAAAACAACTTGATATTTGTACACTTTTCGACTGATTTTCAATCAGATTTTTGATCTTTAAGTATGAGTGATCCCCATCAGTTATTTGTCTTAGGGTTGAGAGTGGAACTATGATTCATTGTTGTGGGCACTCAACTTTCAACCAGTGGGTCACAAGTTCGTATCCCGCGTCGCCTAGCGATGTTCGCACAGCCGGGTAGCCTTCATACAATCCGTATGCTTCATAATCCACTGCACGAATATCCACGTGGTTACTGAGTATCTATTATTGTTTGTCCCTTGGGTTCCCAGTGGAATATAAGGCTTCAGTAGCACGTTTCCACACCACTCTGTTCTCTGCAGTCTTTTCAACCTGGCTCCACCACTACCCACTACCTTTCATTTCTTCATCACACGATCTCGTCCATGTCACTCTCACTTCGGACGCCGAACTCGTCGTTTCCCATGCGGGTTTCACCCGACTGCCTGACCTGGCGCGTAATGTCCCCAATCGGTCTTCTCAGTGTGTGTCCAATCCAATCCATCTCCACTTCCTTCCGCATATTTGTTAAGCTATGGGTTCTTAGTTGCTTCAACGCCAGGCCAGAGTTCCTCGTTGCCTATTTCGGTTCTTCTAGCCATCTGATCTTCAGTATCAAGTGAGTGTCGACGGAAGTTGTTGATGTATGTCTGTAGTTTATTGGAAATGCTTTTCGTAACGCGCCAAGTCTGTCAACCATCATATAGAAGCACTGCCTTACTTGACTGACATTAGTGTTGGAAATCTGGATCTTGTTCTTGATGCTGAGTGGAGTGCAGTAGATATCCATGCTGATTTCAGGTTAATGAAGGCCTGTCTTGATTTTTCGATCCTGGCTTTGACGTCCTCATCTATGCCGCCGCCTGCAGTTGGAACAACGCTGCTTAGGAAAGTAGGTGAAAGAGACTACTTCCTTTAGATTTCTCCCATTCATGGTGATTGGTGATTGCTATAGCTGTTTTTGTCATTGGTTGGGTAACTTCATCACCTCTGTCTTCCTCACGTTCACCTGAAGGAGTTCCCATCTTGGCTACTTCACCTCGCCTTTTCTGTCAACTTGTTGGTTTTTGTCTGTAGATCTTCGAGTTTGTGCGACATTAGACATAAATCATCATAGCGTAATTAGAAGACGAAGTTTATCTGAGCAATGTGATGTATTTGCGCAATACATTTCGAACAATCTGATCACACATTTACTTGTCAAGTCAATATATATTAAACCGAGGACTGGGAGGGGAGATAAATACCACAATTAACACGATAGGGGATTAAAATTGAGAAAGATGAGGACAAACAGGAAGTGGCATAGTTGGTCCTAATCTTGGTAAGAAAACAAAGTTTACCAAGGTAGGTGTAGTGTAATAACAAACTGTTTTTGTACACATAAAGGTGGTTTAAATTTGTGTATGGCTATGGCTTCTGCAAATCTCAGAATACGTCCTTGACTGTTTCTATATAAGACTTTGAAAGCTGTTTGAACATTAACTTTGTGACCTGTTTCTGTTATGTTTAGCTATAGATGAAGAGGGTCGTCTCCCACCAGCGTTTATCACTGTTTCACACTCCATTTGTTTTTGAAGCCATTTAGGCACATGTTCTCCCACCCTCAACTGCATAACCTGATTACTCCTCCCTATGTGTGACCACACACACATGTAAATTGGTAAACACAATGGGACGTGACGTAATCACTGATGCAGTGTTTAGGTTTTTGGTGAAGTATGTGTTTTGTTTTCTCCATAATGGTAAGATTCGCTGCGCAATACGTTTTCTTAATAGCTGATGTCAGCCTACGTCTCAAAATGATACTATTTAGCTTCCCTCTGTATGGTAGAGTGATATGACATTTTTCTTAAGGACCGTGTATAGAGTAGGCTTTGGTGCTACTTGACCTCTACAATGGTTTATAAACTTCATCGGATATCCATTTTCCATAAGTGCTTTGCTCAGTAATTTGATGTCTTCATCCATCGCATCTGATGTACTGATACGATAGATCCTGTTAGACAGGCATTTTACTAAACCTCGCTTGTATTGTATTGGACAAAAACTGTGGAAATTCAGATATTGTCCTGTCCATGTAGGCTTTCTGTAAACTGACCGAGTTATGCAGTCGAGGGTGGGAGAACATGTGCCTAAATGGCTTCAAAAACAAATGGAGTGTGAAACAGTGATAAACGCTGGTGGGAGACGACCCTCTTCATCTATAGCTAAACATAACAGAAACAGGTCACAAAGTTAATGTTCAAACAGCTTTCAAAGTCTTATATAGAAACAGTCAAGGACGTATTCTGAGATTTGCAGAAGCCATAGCCATACACAAATTTAAACCACCTTTATGTGTACAAAAACAGTTTGTTATTACACTACACCTACCTTGGTAAACTTTGTTTTCTTACCAAGATTAGGACCAACTATGCCACTTCCTGTTTGTCCTCATCTTTCTCAATTTTAATCCCCTATCGTGTTAATTGTGGTATTTATCTCCCCTCCCAGTCCTCGGTTTAATATATATTGACTTGACAAGTAAATGTGTGATCAGATTGTTCGAAATGTATTGCGCAAATACATCACATTGCTCAGATAAACTTCGTCTTCTAATTACGCTGTGGTAATTCATATATCATCATAGGCGAAAATGAAATCTCCTAATCTCTTTTCATCGGTCCAGCCAGCGTATGCCCATCTTCTCGCTCGTCACAGTTTCTTGTATTATCGAGTGCAGTCGACCACAATCAGGAATATCATCGCTGATAGTTGGCAGGCTTTTCTTACTCCTGTACTTCACTTCAAAGGTGTCACTGAGCTTTTCATTGTGAGTGCATGTCGTTAATTTTGATGGTATTAGAACATTGACTTTTGAATCATTACATACTGGTTTCGCTCTCTAACACCTTAGCTCCTAATTAATTCTTGGCGATGTAGTGCAAAATATCGACTGTTACTATACATGTTACTACTGTCTTAGAATACTCGTGTAATTGTGAGGGCAGTACTTCATAATTTGTAGCTTAGCTGAAAGTTTTTTGATTTTGTGAAGGAAATTGTTATGAATATGTATATTCTTTCTCTTACTGGGGATATATCTCACTTACCAGATACCAATTTTGTTGAATACTATCAATTGTTCATATCGTATAATTTCTGAACATTGAATTGGATCTGTGTATTATTTTATCTTTGGTTTACATGTTTCCTTTAGTGTGGGAAATTTGACTCCCGTTAGCCCTTTTTTAGACTAAAAAGTTCCGTGAAATAAGGGCCATATTTTGTGAATTTTTGTTGAATATCTCTTTGAAGATAAATTCACCCAGGATTCAAGTAAAGAATATCCCGAATATGGCTATAAATTTCGTCAACTTTCCATTGGTTGAAAACTATCACTCAGTTCTGTGAAATTAAATTCGTGAAACAAACATTCAGTCTAGTGTTTCACTTGTTAAGACCTGAACGCCGAAAACATTGATCTAAAACTATGTTAATATTAAAGTAGAACTTGAACACTGCAGTAGTTTTTAATAAATAGACAAACAGATAAATAAACGAAGAACCTGATACATAGCTGCATCTGTTCAAGTTTTCACACTTCACAGCAGCACAAAAAGAATAAGTGAACAGAACAATAGTGATATTGAAGTAGACAATAAATAAGTGGAGGTAGGCGAAAATATTCTGCGCCTTTGTGTCTGATTTTGAGCCATATCATCAAGAGTGTATCCAGTGATTTTTATAATTTTGAGAACCCCGGCCAGACAGTCTACACTCCCCTACATAGCCCAAACTATCGGTCAGAGAGTTCACGGACTGGTGCCAATTCTTGTTGCTGCTACTCGTAATCTTCTTTCAACTCAATCCTATTTTGGTTAACATTGTTTGTCAAGGTAAGCAATGGATTGGTATGTGTAATATATCCCCAAGCCATCACAATCGGTGAAGAAAGTTCACAACTCCGTCAACGAACTTGCCTCCCACCTTGCCTGGTGCCTTACTCCTATTACCTCTTCATGTCATATGTTTTCAGCTGTCAGGTCTCAGGTATATAATAGAACAAAGCAGACCACAGCACAGTATCGAATATCTCAGCAGCACTAGCTATAACGTAGGTGGATAAATACCTAATTGTATTCAAAATGTGATTTCGTCAAACACATGCAGCAGGAGGATTCAACGTCTCTTTCAGATATTTGTGAAATTCTACTAACCAGATGAAGGTGAAGAAATAGAATCATAAAAAAGACAAAGGTTTAAGAGATTTGGAGTTTTCTTCCATATGGCTGTCGAAGTATAAAACAGTAGCGAGGAACAAATTGTGTTCGAAACATTATCCAGTAAATAATAATGTTTTATTGGGTAGAATATTCAATAAACAAATTAAAATGGAATTAAAACTATATTTAGTCATCAATATAACCCTATATGTATAAATCAGTTTATTCGTATTGTTTACATCTATTGACAAGTTAAATCATTGTGTTATGTTTTCATCAAATTGTTACCATTACTGTTGCCAAGGTTGTTATATACACATACACTTAAAGATTGATAATCATTTGTACTTTTTTTAATGTTTTGTTTGGATGTGAGCGTGTTTTACTATACTGTCAATATTGCCATCAAATAAGCAAGTTTAGATTAACTCTAAACATCTTACAGTCTCATCAAAATGTGCTATTTTTAATTTAGTTATATGTGTGTATTTTTCACCTTAATTTTTTGGAAAAAAGTCGTTTACTACGGATATATAATCATTATGGATTTATTTCGAGTTTTTGATTCTAGTTTGACATTCATCTGAATAATCCACTAGTTATCCTTATTATCAAAGAAAGTTGAAATAAAAAGAATAATGTATTCATAAACAAAATTTCTACAAACTCCAATTATAGCTGATGATAGTATATATGAATGAAAATATTAGCCATCTTATCTGCAAATACACTATGGTTCATTATCGGTTTCACTGGCAAGAATACATTCACATATTATTATCTCCATCCTGATCGTCTTACCAAATCTCATAATTGATTTGTTCCTTTTGTGACTTTCTACAACTTTTCATGACTTTCTTCGTCATCTCACATTGACTCTGACTGAATGCGATAGCTTATATGGAGCTGTAGCGAATTGGTCTTGGTAATCGACCTTCAATCAATGGGTCATGGATTCTATGCTCGCACCCCCTCTCTACCATAGTTTAAGCAACCAGACAGACATTGACCTGCACACAGTAGGTATGACTCATTGTTTAGTTCATGCATGCACGCAGTTGCGGTTGCTGAGTGCATTTCGATTTTTATCTCTTTGTCAGAGCTGATTAGTTACTGAGTTCTAACCGCCCAATACCAAAAAGCAGTGCAAGATAAAATTTTATCATTTGACTTAATGGTCACATTGCAAACTTCTGTTGACTAACTGGGTTCAGGAAAGTGATTGCCAGCCTTCGGTAATCACTTCACTTAGGGTTGTTTTCGATTACTAAACCAGATAATCGTTACTGATTGTGCATTGTAAAAGAAGCAACCTGTAGTCAATTGTTTCGGTTTTTTTCAAGTGCTTGAAAAATATTTAGTACGGGTCAGAATTTTAGTTGGTTGGAGGCGATCAACAGGAAGCCTTAGATTTAGGTTTTGTGCTTGTAGGCACTCATCCGCAAGGCGTGTCTGCAACCTCGAGGTAAATAATATCCCCTCTGAGATTCATATCCGCGTTACGCAGTGTTGCACTCAACGACATTACCACCGAGCTACTCAGGCTATGAGTAACTTCCTGCACGACTGGATTAGATACACTGATTGGTCATTGAAGGAGGGCAAACAATTTCATCCTGCATAGTCGTCAGGGCTGACTGAATTCTATCGACCACAGTATATCACTGTCACTTAGCGTTTCCACTCTATCTTCGGGGATTCAATGTTACTTTATAAGTTGTAATCTGCATATCAATCTTTTTTATAATGCAGAAACAACTAATTGTCTATTTCCCTTCTTTTGTACTTTGCTATGCAGATGCTTAAGTGGCATTTGGGGTTGAAACCCTATATATATATATATATATATATATATATATATATATATATATATATATATATATATATATATATATATATATATATATATATATATATAATCTTGTTATTTATTTTATATTGTAGGCAAACACTGCGTAATGAAGGCGTACGCGCATTATATAAAGGTGCTGGTTGCCGTGTTATGGTTATGGCTCCGTTGTTTGGTATAGCACAAACCGTTTATTATCTTGGTGTTGCTGAACGTCTTTTAGGTTATCCTAGGTATTAAAGGAAAATTTGCTTCGATTATTTCTGTTTACATTCACGATTGCATATTTATGTATAAGAAGCACGAAACTGTAATACTAACCCCTTAACTACAGTGCATTCCTTTTTTTTAATTATAAATCTGTTTAATAATTCTGATTATATTAACTTACTTTTATTAGAAGTTTCGTTGTTTGATGTGTGTGTGTATGTGTGTAAAAGATGAGGTTTATTTCAAGTCAATGCCATGATGTTTTTCTTGTTGATTACTACTTGCCTTCATTCGCTTCTATTCTATTCTTCTGCTCCAAATTATTTTTCTCTTTTTTTTTGACTACAAGTAGCCGTAAAAATTGTGATATTTTCCTTGTACACAAACTTTTTTTGACCTCATTTCAACTCCTTTCTTTTCTGCTAATTAGCCAAAAGTTTACTATACTGTATGATGATAAATATAAAGACTGATGTATTGCGTTATTCTACTGTAACTGTCAAGTTGTAGCACAGTTCGTGATGGATAATCGCCACTGAATGTCCTTTCTTTCATCATCATTAATGAACTGTATTTCATGTTATAAAATTTCCTATTCTACACAGTCTATTCATATCAACATCATCACTAGACTAGTATCAGTTATTATAAGTATAGTTGTAAACTACTGTGGTAATTATTTTGCTTCTATGGAACAACTTTCAAGATGTATTTTTGTAAGTTTTATCGGGATGTAATTAAAATTGTTATTATTACTCTATGCATTATTAGATTAGTTGTACTGCATCATGTTGTCTACAGTAATCAGTTTCCGTTCTATTCCTGTGTACACATATATTTCTGTGCAATGATTTCTTAATATTCACTCTGCGGAGTTGTGTTTCTTTTTCTCTCTTTTTGTGAATGTTGTTTTAGTGTGATAAGTGTATTCATTGTTTGTTTGTGTGTGTGTGATGGATTCTTTAAAATATTATTCTTCGTTTGGTTGGAAGACAAGATTATTTTACTGAATTCTATTGGATACATTCATGATTGTGGTGAAATGGACAGTTAATTAGTTTTAACAGCGGAAGTTTAGTTAGCGGTTGCCAAAGTTCAACAAATATTAAATGTGATTCAATCAGGTGCTTTTTTTTAGTGAATTGACTGATCACAAAGTAGTGTTCATCATTTTTTTCCACAGGAAATCAAGTGCACTACTTTGAGGTCTTGCAGTAGCCATACTAGTATTCAGCCATTAGGTTGGAATCCAATGTTTAACATTTTCATACTTTTAATAATTTACGATATAGTGTGACCACCACCCAGTGCTTATCAATAAGTTCCTTTGAAATGGACTTCTCGAAGTTTTCATGAAAAGTCGTGATTTGTGGAGTCAACCAAATTGAGTATGAAGTAAAATACTCGCCGATCGCTTTAGATGTTGGACGCCCTATATCGCTAATTTGACAGACGTAGGAAAATGTGAACCATCAGATTCGGAAGCAGAGTGAGTAGCAGTATGTCTGTCAATCGTTTATGCGCACCGTCGAAGAGTCGTAAAAACTAGCGCAAAACAGCTGACCAATGTGCTCCAATGACTTTCTAACTCATGTTACTCCATGATGGATATCATGCGATTTGAGTAGCATATAAGTAGCATACTCTTTACTCAAAGTAAAGAGTATCAATGAAAATTATTTTTTGCATAAACGAGTGTGAATTACCTTCAAAAGCTTCGTACGAAACGGTGACAGAAAGGCCCAAAATATATTGAGTATTTGGTCAATGTTTCTGAGGTGTTGAAGTTTCAGCAACATAATATAATTGTTACAACGCTTGCATTGATTGGGCGTTACTACACTTCAAGTTCCTCAGTACGTATATGTGGTAGGGCGCTTCCTGAGTTAATAAGATGGCGAATAAATCAAACAATTGATGTGATCACGGACGGTAATTTTACCCGAAATGTTACCAGAATTAAATAAAATTATTGTGTACATCATATCCATTACAAGTGTATTTATAAAAAATTGGTTTTCGACACATCGCAAATTTTGTATGCATGTAATGTACAAAGTTACTTCTTAAAACAATGAATGTGAAAACGTAGGATTTAATGAATGTATAAATTTCAGTAGAACTAATCAGTGGAATACTCTACATACTTGAGAATATATAGGACAGGGTGAAACAGGAAAACAGACATAGATAACGCAAACTAAACTATCGATTAAGATGTAACAACACTGAAGCGCACAACTTTTAACTGAAAAGAAAGCATAAACACCTGCATCACAGAAAGTCGTCTCATGAACTCCATCCATGTCGCCCTTATATCTCAATAAAAAACGCTTAGCAACCCGAATGATTGATGTCATTTCATAAAATCATCAACTTGCACCTTTCTGCTATATGATATCTTGAAGTAGACGTACGGCTTAGTGAAACACTTGTGACTTGTAGTTCCCAGTGTTCTCTAACGTAAATCTATGGTCTATTTAGTATCCGTAAGCTAAAACGCGGATTTGTTTGAATCATTATTATTACAAATCATGTGCAGACCAAATTGCAACGCTTCGCATCATCATAGAACAGAGCATAGAATGGCAGTCAGCTCTCTGCCTCAACTTCATCGACTTTGAGAAGGCCTTTGACAGCGTCGACCGAGAAGTAATTTGGAAACTGCTTCAATACTACGGAGTACCGCAAACCTTTATCCGCCTCATTCAACAACTATATGAAGATGCCACATGCCAAGTAATTCACAATGGAAGCTCAGTGATGCTTTTGAAGTGAAGACAGGAGTGAAACAAGGTTGCCTACTATCCCCCATGATATTCCTGATTGTGGTGGACTGGATCATGCAGCAAACAGTAGGCAGCGAGAAGAGGGGGATACACTGGACGACGGAAAAGAACCTAGAAGACTTGGATTTCGCCAGTGATGACTTGTGCCTAATGTCACATAGACTTGAAGATCTGCAGGCAAAAACTAACAAGTTGATAGAAGAGGCAGCTAAGACGGGACTTCAGGTGAATATAGAGAAGACAGAGGTGATGAAGATACTGCACCACCACCATCAACAACAACAACAAACTCTAATCACCGTCAACGGGAGAAACTTAAAGGAAGTAACCTCCTTCACTTATCTAGGAAGCATTGTTTCAACTACAGGCGGGACGGACGAGGACGTCAAAGTGAGAATCGGAAAAGCAAGACAGGTGTTCATTAGCCTGAAACCAGTGTGGAGATCTTCTGCACTCAGCATGCGGAACAAGATACGGATTTTCAACACCAACGTCAAGTCAGTGCTCTTGTATGGTTCAGAGACTTGGCGCGTCACGAAAGGCATTTCCAATAAACTACAGACATTCATCAACAACTGCATACGCTGGCTCGTTACTGAAGATCAGATGGCCAGAATGATCAGAATAAGCAACAAGGAGCTCTGGGAAGGAACCAACCAAGAACCTATCACGCAACACATATGCAGGAGGAAGTGGAGATGGATTGGGCATGCACTGAGAAGGCCGACTGAGGACATCACGCGTCAGGCCCTCGAGTGGAATCCCCATGGGAAGCGACGAGTTGGACGTCCAAGGGTGACATGGAGGAGGTCGTGCGAGGAGGAAATGAGAGGTTGTGGGCTGTCGTCGGACCAGGTTCAAAAGATCTCAGAGAACAGAGGTCACTGGAGGCGTGCTACTGAAGCCCTATGTTCCACTAGGAACCCAAGGGACTAATAATAATAATTATTATTATTACATTTAAGTATCAGTGCACCTTTTTGCTCACAATCATTTAGTCGGACAATAATTAGGTTGCTATACAGTAAATGTAAAAAGTGCTACGAATAAATGAATGTTGATCGATAGTTGGTTATAGTATCATTTAACATACGGATATCTGAGAAGATTGGAGTGTATCTACACTTTCTTATCGCGAACTGTCTTGTACTACGTTCTCGAGGATCTGAACATACTGATTTATATCTTCATTTATAGACGCTTGGTTTAGCATTTTGCTGTTTTTAGAATGATAGGAATACTTTGATCGAGACAAAGTATTCATTAGCTTCCTCTTCAATAACAAGTAGAATTAGCTACAAATATTAATTTATAAACCAGAAAACGAATTATATTAAGTATATTTATCGTTCACAAAATTATTATTAAGCAAAGATGGATTTCATCTTTTTAGATATACGAAAAATTTCAAAGTTGTTCAGATATTATTTTATCATACTTGGAGATTTGTTATTTACTCTAACAAACTTCCTAGTTTTGGGTTCTCAAAAGAGGTCATTATGAAGTTTCGTAACTCAGTTGCTCTTATCTCAGACTGAAATATATACAGATTCTTACTTTGATTCTACATACGTAAGTTCATTCCATTGAGTATTTAGTCTAAATTAGATCATTAAGAATTCCAAGTTGAAGCAATTTACTCTTACCATATATCAATTAAATCTTATTCAAATGAAAGGATAGTATGGTGTTCAAATCCTTTTAATGTAATAACTAGTAAGTATTATTGATCCGTGTAAGATCCCACTACTCATATTAAACAAATGATTTTTATCTTATTAGAACTTTTTGCTTCCCATTGTTGATTAGTTTGGATTAGGGATACCATCACTCATTAGGCTACAGGCACTTTCAGTTTATACATTCCAAACAGGACGAAAGGCTAGTCCTGCTTTCGACTGCTAACCATAATGTCTCCTTGATATCTCATATCTTTGTTTTGTTTAACGATGAGTGATATGTTCTTAAACAATTTCTTGGATTGAAATCATACGATATTTAAAGTTTTAAGATAGTCACTTAATTTGTATTGTTAACGTTAACCATTTGTTCCATGTATATTAATTAGTTGGATGTAACTGTAAGGACCAGATTTTCAGTGCATTCATTAACACATTTTGTCAAATTAATATAAGTGTAAAACTTGGGCACTGTGGTCGAGTGTAATTCCATTTTAGTCTGTTTATTAGAAATATCACGCAGTGAAACAATAGCATTTACTGGATAACTTTTCAGGCACAA